GTTAAGGGTTGATAGGCAAACTAGAAGTATATCTCTACTTGTAAGCACAAAAGTTCAAGAGAGAGAGAAATCTAAATTGAGAGAATTATAGAGAGAGAGGCTCCCAAAATTTTTCCAACCTTGAAAACAATTTAGAAGGTCCTCTATATATAGAAAAATGAGAGCTCAGGTCGAAAATATCAAAGAAAGGATAGCTGGAGCAGTGTGGAACAGCTGGAGGAAAATATCTGCAGAAAAAACGGCCTTTTCGACACCAGTGGCCAACCGACAATCACTGGTGGCCGACGACCACCATTGATGGCCGAAAAAACTCACCTCTGGTCGACACATGGCTGAAAAAGCCACTCATAGCCGACACATGGCCGACAAAGCCCATTCATGGTCGGAAAACTCCACCAGTGGCCGACCAGAAAAACCTGCCCTCTAGGTCCAACTTCAAATGGGCATATCTCCTTCGTCCGGACTCCATTGTAGTTCATTCTTAAGTTTAAATCGAAACCCTGGAAGTAATCTTTCCAATGGTGGCAGTGTCATATCAAAATTCCAACTGTGCAAGAAGATATTATTATTTTAGTGAAGACTGCTCAGTTTCGGTCCTAACCGGATTCATGCCTAACTTCTCCTCAGCTAGTTTTCTTTCCTCTCTTCCAATTTTCTTCAACTCCAAACCTATAAATAAGATGTTTTAAAGATTTTTTTTTCAAAGAGTTTATCTCTCTTTCTTTTATTTCCACTTTGTCCTTGCTCGATTTACCGAAAAGTGCAATATTTAACGAAATGCAAGCCTCAGAACATCGTAGAAACGTTTTCAAAAATATTTTGAAAGAGAGGGTTTTAAGGTCTAAAAATCATTTTGGTCAAAATAGTTTTGGTCCAAAATGAGGTGTAAGGTTGGGATTTGGAGCTATCCTTGCCGAAGAAATTGAACCTTTGCATAACATAGCTTTCACCACCAAATAATCAATCAATGGCGCCCAAGTCTGAAGGGCGGTCAAAAATGGGGTGTCTACACTATTAATCCATAATTCAAATTACGAACCCATAAGGCTCACATAGAAGTAACATTGTGAAAAATAGCGTACTTTAACATATCTTTATTAAGACAATACTCACATTGATTTGTCGGATGATTTGCCCTTCTGCTTGACCCTACACATTTCATAAACATAATGGGTCACAAGCAATTCAGTCCGTTCTTAATTCATATATCCTTCTTAGGCTTCTTCCTTATTTTTTTAATTCATTTATAATGCTCAATGCATGCCTAAGAGTGCTTAGAAATGAAACATAACGGAAACAAAACACAAAATAACTTTTTAAAATTTTTGAAACAGGGCTCTCCACTCGAGCGGACCCCTTTGGTGTACAAAAGTACTGGTTACCTCATTTTTGCGCCCAAGCGTGACTTCGGAGGCTCGAGCAGAGAGTCAGACATGTGACTGGATGCTCGAGCATAACTACTCTCACTCGATCGGATATCAATGTCTGAAAAACTTTTGGGAGCTAACATTTTACGCTCGAGTGGCGCCTTCCCCGCTCGAGTGGACTTGACAAATTCTAGAATTTCCAGAACTGAATTTGAAGCTCAATCTTGATGTTCAAAGGTCCAAAACTCATGTTTTTCATACAAAGGCATTGAAAGACATTGCACAACGTAAGAATATAGGTAATTTGAAACCAATTGTCTAAAATCATGGTTCATCTCTCAAATCATTTCAAATTCTTCTTGTCAATTTCTAAACTCAAATAGTTAAGCTCCTTACTTACATGAATCTTGCATGCATGTGAAATATTGACTTCAACTCCATTTCAAATGGTACAAGTGGTGCTCAAAATCATGAAGCTACACCAAATTATGCATGCATGTGAAATTTGGTTCTCAATTCATCATGTTCAACATGATTCATGCTTGAATATGTAAAATCATCGCAATTTTATACATGCATGCGCATATAGACTTCAAATTCGTCATGATCAACTCAAATCTTGCTTGAATTCACTCAATTGCCAACTAAAACTTATGAGTTAAGCTCAATTACTCACCTAGGAGTTCAAATCTTCCAAATTCTAGCTAGCTCTTGAGCCTAACCTTCCAATCCCCCAAGGTTTGAAACAATTTCACAAATTTTCTTCTTCCTCTCTCTTTCTAGAACCGGCCCCCTTCTCTATCTCTCTCTAGAGTATGATTTCAGCCAAGATGAGATCAAAGGAAGGAATTGAGTGCATATAGGCCTATTTATAGGCTTGGCTAATCAAATTGACTAAGGCTCAGTAATAGTGCTCTAATTTAATCATTCTGAATCTAATTATTTTGATTAGTTACCAAAATGGCCAAAGAGGAGAAACAATGGGTCAAACCAGGTTTTCTAGCAAAACAAAAGCGAATAGAGTACAAAATGGAAAGATATAAGACAATCAAGAAGAATAATAAAAAAATGGATGCTCTACAATTGAAGCGTATAGCAGCTTCTTTGATGGGTTCTACTCAGCCCAATCGTGTTAATCAGAAGGGAAAGAACATTAGGGTAGATGATGATGACTACATACCGTCAGATCATGAGGATGACACTGATGCTGAGTCCTTTGAAAGTGTTGACGATGAGGTACTATATGTATGGCCATTCATTTTTTTTATTATGTCACTGATATCTATATATTTCTTAATGATGCTTTGTTAATACTATCTTTATATTTCTGTATACTTTATTGGATGAATAAGTCATAAAATAAAACTAGAAAATATACATCCTACATACAACAATAAGCATACCAAAGCAAAGCTAAAGGGAAAAAAAAACATCCTGCACAACCTATAGGAGTAAGTTAGCTGGAACACAAATGTATAACGAAATAAGACATAATTTGACCATGTTGGAAACACCAATACTAGGATTAGTGCATGTGTGTAGCCTGGCCCTCATAATATCAGTAAAACACATGGCAAACACATTTGGGCCCTTTGGGGAATCACGTTTGACACACTTAAAATCACATTCGGGCCCAAAAGCAATTCTGTGTTGGAGTTTGGCAATACATAATTGCATTTGCTAAACATGTCCCAATGCAGAAACCCATGCCAAATGTTATTATCCATGTTTGGAATCTCTGCCAATTATGCCTCTCATTTTTAGTTTTTAAAAAAATGAAAAAAAATAGACATGTGCATGCAGCTACCAGGACTTGACCTTCAACAGCTCTGTGGGATCACGCCTCAACATCCATTATCGACTTAAATATTTTCAAACTATACAATATATTTATATAATCCATCCATACAAATGAAACATTTTTTTGCTTTGTTTTATTTTTTTATATTTTGATATACTTCCATGAATCAAATAAATGTTAAAATAAACACAAGCAAACATACACAACTATATATATATATATATATATATGTGTGTGTGTGTGTGTGTGTGTGTGCGAGGCATATGCCTATCTAGTCATTTTTATACATTTAAAAGCACAAAAAATACATATTTTATAGTAGATTCTTATTTGGTTGAAATTTTTATATATCTAATATATAATCAATATTATATCGCTATAAAATAGGTAAATGACTTGGCATTCCATAAAACAAATGGTCAGATAGTCACTCTTGACAACTACTAAGACTTCTGATCATGGCATCCAAAGAAAACCAATTATGCATAAGCAAAAGCTATCTCAAAGGGGCCCATAAGCAATCTTCTTTTCCCAATTTTATTTGACAGATTAATATAAATATTTAAAAAACCAATACTTGAGATGATTAAACAAAAAATGATAATAAAGTCGGCAAAGTACCTGTACTAGATTTAGACCAGAAAATGGACATCACAATTGCTCTGGAGGACTCTCTGAGGATCAAGCTGCCCACTGCAATAACTGGAAGGAACAGCAGAGAGTTCCTGCCTTGATGAGTTTCCATATACATATCTGTACTTATCCATTTTTATGTATGTATTGTTTATGCTTTTGTATTATGTTTTTTAGGGCTTACCAATGCCACCAAAACGATTGGCGAAGTCATCTCTTCAACCTTCACACGAGGCAATTGTTGTTCCAAATGGGGATTTACCTGACAATGTGGATACCCAACACTCACAGCCACTTGATGTCAATATGGACGCACCGAGGGAGGCAACCCCCCAATCTAGTGTTGGTAAGATACTGAATTGTACTAAGCTAAAGAAATTCTCTGTTTTTAATGTAATTCTATGGTGCAAAAAATTTCAAGCAATTTGTTTCATAGGGTTTGTTTTGTTTTTTAATTTTTTTTTTTGGGCTGTAACAAGTGTTGGGGTATACCCTAGTTTAACTCTTGTAAGTTTTGTTTTGTTCATACATACATACATGTTACCTTCTGTCAAAATGTCTACTTATTCACTTGTGTTACAGTTGATGATTAACAATTATTTAATTTTTTTAAACTGTCAAGACTGTTCAATTTTAAACTAAAATATCATTTCTAGGTTCTTATATAGTTGCTTCTCTGTTCTTCTCTGTTACTACCACTTTCTTCCATACTCTTTCTTTGTCTTCAACATAAGGCCAAAAAATTATGCAATTTGTGGGTAAAGGCCAGTGGTGATAAAGTGTTTTTTTATTTTATTTTGTTTTTAAGGATTTTCTATGTTTGGTAGCTGAGAAGATGTGAGAAAGAGGGGAAATAGAAAATAAAATAAAATGTTGTCCTTTTGTGCCATCATGCTACTGCGGTTTCTAAGAGAGTGTAAACCTTTGCAATAGTTTCCATTGTGCTTAACTGGGTGAAAATATCTGTCTGCCTTTGTCTATAAAGTTGTGGAATTAGTTATTGAAGAATCTGAGGACCAAAATTTTGATTTCATTTCTTTGCTCATACTGAATTTTTTTAAGGAGAAATTGTTGGGCTTTTTACGTGAATTGCTTGTTGAGCTTATTGAGTTTTCTTTTACACAATATGCTTTAAGAATATTTCCACATGGACAGATGTTAAATCGTTGGCCAATGATTAATTACATTCATTACTGAATTATATGCTTAGAATTGTCTCTCTGCGCGCAGATTCTATCCACGAATGAAAATGGGCCAGATACTTGCTTTTCTTGAAGTTAAGGTTGTTTTTCCTTTTCCTCTCATACCTAATTATTCATTTACTTTGAAGAACAGAAGTTGGTAATAATTCTGTTCTATATTGTAGCCTGGCTATGGGACATTTGCATATGATTTCCATATTTTGAAGAATGCAAAACCTTCTGCAGAAGATAAAGTGGTAAGTATTGTTTAAACCATTTTGGATAACACAAATAAAGTTCTATATGCTCAGGCAAAGTCTTTGTGATTTATGAGATATATTTGATTTCAGTGGAAATGTTTTACCAAGGTTCCTATATTTATAATCCTCTTTGCTCGACCTAATTTAATTGGGAAACATTCTGCTATGTGACAAACCCACCAAACTTGTGTCGCTGAAATGCATGCTACTACTTTCTCGAAATTATTTAAAATAAGGCCATCATGTAGCTGTCGTCCCATGTATTTGAGGTATTGGAAGGGCTGAGGGTTATAATGGATGTGGAACTAGCTTAAATCATGTGAAATGGCTGACATGCTTGACTGTTTGAAATTTTACTTCTGCACCAAACAGTGGCTCTATCTTTCAAGAAGTTATAAATATTCTCTTCTTAAGCTACTTCTTAATTAATATTATGTACCTTTCCTTGAAAGTCCACTCCATTTGACTTTTAGGATCACTGTCCAGCTTTCCTTCCACACCACTTTTTATTGCCTAGCTTAATTCATGGGACCATTTTTGTTAAACATAATTATCCAAGTTCAGTTTTCTTTTTCACCTGATTTGTAGCTTTTCTTCGTACTCGATGTATTAATGTAATTAATTTAATATATATGTCATAAGTCTTGCTTATGTTCCAAGAAGCAACTGTAGATTGGAGCAATATTTGTTTTTTTCCAAGCAATCAGGGCTATCAAGAATTTTCTCAGTTTTTGTTTATTTATTTATTTTTCCTATGGCATTGTCATGAACACTGTTGTGCAAATAATCGGTATGATCAGATGGATTGAGACCATAATACCTGTCCATTGTGGGTGGCAAGGGGATCAGTAGGTTGTGGAGCCCTCTGGGAAGTGACAGGGATATATCAGTGTTTTCTGATTCAATTTTTTTGATTCCTCATCTTGTTATTTTTCCTATCTATTAAATGGTAAAAAATATTTATTGAAAGCACTCAGTGGGTTGCTTGCTTAGTTAGTTTGCCTTTGTTTTTCCTGCAGCGGTTATTTGTGGCTCAAACAGATAATATTGAGACATCTTCATGTATCACAACACCCCCACAAGTGAAGTATGACCTTTTTTCTCCCTTGTTTTTGGCTAAGTTGAATTATTACATTTTCATTCTGACCAGCTTTTTGTTGTTTAACTTCTGTAGCTTTCTGTTAAATGGAAAAGGAGTGGATAAAAGGACTAATGTGTTCATGGTTTGTGCTTGTTTAGTTTTGGGGAAGTTATTTTATGTGACAACATTATGCACAATGAATGCAAATTGTAACAAACATTTTGTGTTTTCCCCCACCCCCATTAGGACACTGGTCCACAGCTTCCAACTGTCGTGATGCATATGCTTAAATATGGAACAAATCTTCTTCAAGTTGTGGGTCAGTTTAGTGGTATGCTTGAACATAGGTTTTCTCTTACTTTCTTGTTTTTGTTGCTTGCAATTCATCTGCGCTCTGACCCAGTCTATTGTCTTTGTAAAGGAAACTATATCATAGTGGTTGCCTATATGGGCGTGATTTCAAACCTTGATCGTCCTGTCCTACAAGATTGTGTTCAGCCTGCTGTTGCTGCACTGGATTCAGGTATGCTCATGGAAAGGAATGAGACAAAAAAATAAATTATGCCAAGTGATTTTGTTTTGGTTTTTTGATGATTATATATCTTTGTGATGCTTTGAATAACTATTGTTTTTTTCTCTCTCTTTGTCATATTAGATTCTGAGATTATTGAAGGGCCATCACGAATTTCACTAAATTGTCCAATAAGGTATGCCATTATATGTGTTGCCGACAAACTTTGCTGTTCATTTATCTTCCGAGGTTGACTGTAAATTGCTCCTTACTTCCCCTCCCTAGTTGTATTAATCTTACATGCAGTTTTTTTGTAACGCCACTTTAGCATATTGCTATGTCATTATTAAGTTCAAGTACAAAGAGAGGAAATTCAAGCACAAAATAAAGAGATAGGGAAGATGAATGGGTCGATTGACGAGCATTTTGAGATCACATCAAGCATCATGGAGTTTCTTAAGAAGCAAGGTTTCAAAGGACAATTTAGAGGATGAGGTATCCCATGAACTCGTACGTCGCCTTTTTGGTAAGTCTCGCTCGCTTTATCATTTTATTTTTCTCATGTTGGTTAGTATATACTAGTTAAAGCACAACAGTTTGACTACTTATTAACTAAGATTTAACAAGTTTGAAGATGTATTTAATGAAAATAGATTCATTATCAAAATTCTTACTTAGCATGACCCTAGTTAAAATACACACTAACCAAAGTAGAGACAAAACTATGTGTTTACATTTTTGTGTATTTTTGCTAGGCAGTGTTGGGAGTTGCTCTAAGTTAGTGATGTGATTAATAATGGGTGTCTCTCTGATTGAGTTTTTCACAGTAGTAGAAATGAATGAACATTTATTGAATCTCAGGTAGTAGGTTGGTCAGGTTTGTATATCACTTTATGATTGCTGCTATTTCTTATTTGCTTTAATTATTCTTTTGGATTGTATTACTTTTTTAAACACCATGAAACAGCACTTGAACTCATTAAAAACACGTAACCAGATGTACTCTTTCTGTCTTCAATATCTCCGACATAGTCGTTATCCGTAAACACCAACAAGTCAGTATCTCCTCCTTTCTTATAATGAATTCCATAGTTCACAGTCCCTTTTAAGTATCAAACTGCTCTCTTAGCTGCCTGTAGATGAATTTCCCTTGGTTTTGCCATATATCTACTTATGAGACAAGTAACAAACATCATGTTCGGCCTCGTGGCAGTGAGATACATTAAACTACCCACCAGCTGCTTGTAATACGTCTCATCAACTAAGTCTCCATTTCCGTCTTCTTATTTTGAAACCTGGAATAGAAAGTTTTGGTGTTGCTTCCTATTGCTTCCATCTTGGTGACCAGAAAGTTTTCATTACAAAAAAACCATCTTCTAGTGCTAGTTTTTTAGGTAAATGAGATGGTAATGAGTGGGGACTGGAACAGGATTAAGCTTGTAAACACGTAGACTAGTGTTTGCTGTCAATCCCAATCAACCTAGCTCTACTTGACTAAGTTCTTTGCTTTACTTTTTCCGGGTAAAAAAATTTCAGTTAAAGCAAATGGTGTAGTTAAGAATGCCTCAACAAACATAAATCTAGGAATTAAACTTGCCAATTTGTTTGTATTTTACACTAGATTGGGTTAGTAAAGATTTCCGGCTCATAAATTAAGATTGAGAAGCAAAACAGAAATTGAACTCAGCTGGGACCGAGTTGAATAATGCGATAAGTAATCCTTTCTTTGGTGCTGCTGGAGTCTGCTGGTGTGTGTTGCTACTGGTTTTTGCGCTGCTGGTGTTGCTACTGGTTTTGTGGAGTTACTGCTGTATGTTAAACCTGCTGGAGTCTGCTGGTGCAGCTGCTTCTTGTGCAGCTACTGGCTCATTTACTGTATGTTGTTAAACCTGATGAGTGGAGGGCCTGTGCATGCTGGTGGTGGTGTATGCTCTGTTTGTTTGTTGTTCTGTTTTATTTTTCTTTTCCTGTCTTTTTTGGTTCCTCTTGTAGGATTGGTTTCTCACTTGATGCTCTTTGCTCTTCCCTCCTTGTTGATGTTAAGAAAAGTAATCCTTTCTTTGGGGTTCTCTAATCCCAACTTTTTGTTGAAAATGCATACATTGTAAACATGAGGTTTGTTTTTCAAATTTCATATAAGTTTTAGTTGAAATGCATCCATCATTGTCAACTTTGTTGTAATGACTAGGACTGAGGGGTTTGTTTTACTTTATACATGGATGCAAATTGGCATAAATAAGAAGGCATTCAGGGGCTTTAATGGTACAACCCAAAAGTCTTAATTCCTAGATTTATGTTTGCTGGCCTTTGCTGAGGCATTCTTAACTATACCATTTGCTTCAACTGAAAATTTTTTACCTGGAAAAAGTAAAGCAAAGAGAATACTGTTACATTTACAAATTTTATTGTTTGTTTACTTTTCTCAGATGAATACTCAGATATTATTAGCAACTAGATATCTTAGAGAATTCATATATGACTCCTTGTGATTCATTTTGTGTGGGGATTGGATTAGCCCTTGTCTTTGCATTGTGGCAGGCTTTAGATTTATTAACTTACCTTTGTATACTGAAAGATATTTTTAAGAATTTTGTGATTCGAGGAAGTGTGAAAATAGATTATAGTGGAAAAAGTATTTTATTTTGACAAAAACATAGCTTATATTATCATTACGGAAGTAATCTAAAGTTTTCAGATCATTAGTTATTTTCATAAAAATTTGTAAATCAATTCAAAAGGATTTATCTTACAAGCTTCGAAGAAGTTGAAAGTCCCTGGATGTTTTTGTAATTATAGTGAGATTTGGCTGGTTTAACTAGTTTGATGAACTGTGGTTGGTGCTTGATGTATTTTTTGTAAGAACTTTAATATACACATATTGTTGACATGATGCTGCACCTACAGACATATTATGGCATGTTTGCTTCTAATACATCCCCTCATGCACAATGCTTTCAATTGTGACTTGAAAAATAGACGGAGTCTGTAGCACATTTTGAATCAGTTGTGGCTATAGTGCTTAATGTACTTTGTCAAATTATAGGCAGCATTGGAGCAATTTCAAGGTCTAGGAGTACAAATTCAATTAGCTTGCAGTTTTCTATCATTTATAGGAGTGGTATTCAAGTACATATTTGTTGAGTCATATTGGGCATTGCAGTGATTTTATAGGATCCGAGGCAACTATGCTAAATTACATTGGGGTTCAAAATCACTTTGTGAAACATAAAGGACACTTGTATATTTGTATATGTGCAAAATAATACCATGTTTTTCTTTTTTATTTGTTCTCTATTACAAACATCATGTCCGGTCTCGTGGCAGTGAGATACATTAAACTACCCACCAGCTGCTTGTAATACGTCTCATCAACTAAGTCTCTATTTCCGTGTTGCTTTATCATCAAGGATCACCTCAACTCTTTGAAGTTTTTAATTGTTATATGCATTTCTACCAAATTGGTTTATAAAATAAAATTATTTATATGAGTTTAGATGTAATTGAAAATATATTAATGTTTGCCTTGTTTATTTTCTTTGCAGATTGGTTTTGATGACGTTCGGGAGCATACTTGCAAATGAAGATCAACTGTTGAATTTTTTTTCCTAAACTGATGCTTAGTTGTAGTTGCAAATCAAGATTGAGTATTGATTTTTTTTTGTGGACTCCACGTTAGTTCATTTTGGGATTTGCTTTGATGGTTTTTTTGTGATACTTAATGGATTATTATTAAAGTTGTTTGATGGATATATTTTGATTTATAATAAAAATTGTTTAGTGATTTTTTTTGTGGAGTGATGTATAATAGCTAGTGGATTTCTTAGTACAATTAAAAGGCTATTGGGATATGAGCAGGGATATTTGTGGAATAATAATTTAAATTGAATATAAAATATGGAACAAGTTCAGTGACGAATTTGTTTTGTCATTTATACTTGTTATTATGACAAAGTGATTATTCGTCACTAATAAACTTTTTTTGTGACAAAATTTACTGCAGTTTATATATAAAAAGTTTTAATTTATTTTGTTGTTTGGTGACTAAAAATTTCGTCACATATAAATATATTTGTGACGAACTATATTTCGTCATCCATGTATGACTTTTGAAGACGAAAAATTTCGTCACCTTTACATCTTATTGTGACGAAATTATTTCCTCATCAATGATCAATATGCGTGACAAATTTATTCGTCAACTAAAGTTATAAACATGGTACTGAATAACTATTTGGTGACGAAAAGGAGAATTTTTTGGCGACAAAATGTTGTTTCATTGGTGAAAAAAAATTATGACTTTTGAAGACGAAAAATTTCGTCATCTTTACATCTTATTGTGACGAAATTATTTCTTCATCAATAATCGCAATAATGCGTGACAAATTTATTCGTCAACTAAAGTTATAAATATGGTATTGAAAAACTATTTGGTGACGAAAATGAGAATTTTTGGCGACAAAATGTTGTTTTATTGGTGACAAAAAATTTCGTCGCTGAAGTAATTTCATTGGTGACGAAATTATTTTTCGTCACGTTGGTTTTTAGTGACAAACATTCAATGACGAAACCGGTGACGAAAATATTTCCTCACAAATATCTATAGTGACAAAATTAGCTCTTTGAAGACAAAAAAATTTCGTCATTCAAGACCCAACTTGTTGTAGTGGGCTCTACTGTAAGAGCATTAGAACTCTCCTTTTGTGTAACCAAGTAACAACTTGGAAAGATGTAAGCCCACGGGCATTTTATTATTTTGTGAACATTAGTAACTCGTATGAAACATCCTTTATAATATTAACTCTGATGAATGGAAATGTGACTTATCTATCATGTTTATAGAACTGTTAAATGATGGGCTTATGTATTATTTTGAGGGCATTACAGAATTTACTCAGAATTTGCTCAGAATTTATTGGGAATTTACTAAGTAATTTTATTAAAATTTACTGAGTAATTTTCTCTGAATTTACTAAGTAACTTACTGAGTAATTTGAAATTATGTTTTAAATCTTCTCAATGATTGTTTATTGTTTTTATTTTTTTTGGTTATAAATTATTTATTTATTTATTTTGGCAGTAAATTTTGTAATTGTTTAAGAAAAATGAATTGTGTCATAGAATTTTGAATTTCGAATTTTGAATTTGCTTATGATTTGTAACTGATACCAACTCACTACTTTGATATGATACTTATTGAATTAATAAACATTATATTGTGATATAAATGGAATCATCTGGCATACTTTGTCCAACTAGGTTGTTAGACTTATTTATTTTGATGATTTATTTAATTATGTTTCAATTTATTTGAAAGAGAAAAATAGAGTGCAAAATTTATTTTGATGATTTATTTAATTATATTTTAATTTATTTGAAAAAGAAAAATAGAATCAAAATTTATTTTGATGATTTATATGAAAGAGAAAAATAGAATCAAAATTTATTTTGTTCCATTATTTCTCACCTAAACCTTTATCCTAAATGTTGTCAGAATGTAATTAATATTTAATTAAATCAGGAGTTCAAACAGTCCAAAACAAAGGTTCAAACAGGCTAGCACAGCAGCAGGCCAAAAGGTTCAAAAGGTTCACGTGAAAGATATTCAAATTAATAATGATGGAAGTACAACAGCTATAAACGGATATAAAGGTTCAAAGGCCAAAAGGTTCAAAAGGTTCAAGTGGAAGATATATTCAAATTTGTAATGATGGAGTGGAAGATATTCAAATTGGTAATGATGGAAGTACAACGGCTGTAAACGGCTATAATTTCAAATGACTATAACAGCTATAAATTCAAATGAATACAACGGCTATAATTTTCATTATACATACCAAAGCCTCTAATGTAAACAAGTGACAAAAAACCTGAAAATATTCTTTGATCTATAATCACTCACATCTATTCTCAGACATTATACACTGAGCCTTATAGCTTTAAGCCCATCTTTCCTGTGTGAGATTTACAGAAAAATCAAAGCTTCATTTTCTATATCTATCTTTGAGAGATATTTATTGTAAGCTTTCTTTGAAAGCAAAAATACCATTTCATCTTGTAAAAGTGTTGCAAACACTGTGTTATTGAAATCTTGAGAGTGATTGTGAATCACCTAAGATTTGCAAGGGTTTGGGCTTGTAAAGTCTGTGTAAAATCCATGGAAGATTGCTCCATTTGTAAAGAGGTTGCTTGCACCCATGTGAAGCTAAAAGATAATGGAAAATCTCAAGTGAAGCTAGAGGAGTGGACGTAGGCCGAGTTGAAGCCGAACAACTATAAATTTGTTTGCCTCTCTCTCCCTTATCTCTTTATTTTATTTTAAATTGCCATAGCTATATTTCAAATTTTTACTATGCTAAAATCATTAACTGACATAGTTGTTTTGACACTTGTTTTAATTACTTTTATTTCATTAATTATATTTATCTATTGTGCCCGTCATAATTTTTATTAGGGTATTATTAATTTTAATTGTAAAAACCTAATTCACCCCCCTCTTAGATTGTCTTTTGGGTAACAATTGGTATAAGAGCCTGGAGCTCTTGTTTAGATTTAACAATCTTAAGTTTTTGATCCATAGCAACCATGTATTCTACTTACTCTGCTGTAGGACAAACTAGCAATAGGCCACCTCTCTTTGATGGTAGTAATTACATTCATTGGAAAGAAAAAATGACTTTGTATCTTCAAACTACCAATTATACTTTGTGGCTCATTATCACTAAAGGTCCTAAAATCCCTACCAAGGTAGTAGACCATATCAATGTGCCTAAACTTGAGGATATATTTGATGAGCGTGATTCTAAACTCCTTCAAGCTAATGCTAAATCCAAGCTTATTCTTGTGTGTGGATTAGATGCAAATGAGTACAATAGAATTTCTGGGTGTATTACTACTAAAGAGATTTGGGATAAACTTGAAATCACCTATGAAAGAACTAGCCAAATAAAAGAGTCTCGGATTGACATGCTTATTTATGATTATAAACTCTTTACTATGGAATCATTTGAATCTATTTCTGAGATGTTTAATAAATTTACCAATATTATTAATGCTCTAAAACCTCTTGGTAAATCTTATACTAATGGTGAGCTTATGAGAAAAATACTTAGGTCTTTGCCAAATGAATGGAAAGTTAAGGTTACAGCTATCCAAGAAGCAAAAGACCTAACAAAATTAAGCATTGAAGAACTCCTATGCTCACTCATGGCTCATGAACTTTCGATAATGGATGGCAGCAAAAAGGAAGCCATTTGGGGAGAAAATGATGGAGTAGCCAACCTGTGTCTCATGGCTCTTTGAGAAGAAGAATTCACTCAGGATGAGGTAATTTCTAATTATGTAGAACTTGAAAGTTCTTTCAATGAATTACATGACATATTTAGAAATGTTTGTGTTGAGAATTCTAAATTAAAAAAATTAGTTTGCTTCTCTTTCAAATGATGTGGATGTTTTAAAAATGAAAAATGCTACTTTGAAAAATGACTTTACGTCTACTGCCAATGAGAAAAACATTTTGAAAAACAATGTTAAGGATTTAAACAAAACTCTTGAAAATTTTGTAAAAGGAAAAGAAAACCTCAACAAGCTTCTTGGAAATAAAAAATGTGTTTTTGATAAAGTAGGCATTGGTTTAGATCCTCATAAACCTTTTATGAGATTAAATGTTCTTGAGACTAATCCTTATGGACCCAAGAAAGTATGGGTACCAAGAAAGAAATCAAGATATTTTGTAGATGGAATCTCAAAGAACACCAAGGACTTCGAGAAGAAATGCACAACAAGAGTATTCTATCTAAAGAGCAAAATCAGCTCCTATAAGCAGAAGAATGATGAAATGAAAATCACCAGGATAAACAATTGAGGTAATGTATGGGTGAAGATTCCAAAGAGGTAAATGAAGATATAACTCCTAACACACTTTTAATCTTAAAGTTCTATATTCTTTAAGGTGTGATTTGTATGCAATAGGTTGTGTCTAATCATTGCTTCCATGTAACCTAATTGTACTAAGTTTGCTAAGTCATATTTTGCTAGTTTCTTTCAAACATTCATTGAACTCAAAAATGAGAATTATATTATTTTGATGAATGCCTATTAGAATATGAATGATTCATGTATTCATTAACATTTTATATCATGTCATCCATTGCTATGAAAAAGAGATAAGAAGTGATAAATGTTTTTGTGAGCATACTTTTCAAAGCTTCTGAAACTAGCCTACCGGTGTCATGACCCCAAACCGCCCCTAGTAGTTTGGTGTCATGATGGCCAGTAATCCGAGATTACCAAAGGCCAACTTCCAAAATTCACGCACAATCAGAATATAAATGTATGGGGCTCACAAGTGCGGAAGCAATAATTTAAAATACAAGTGGTCCATAAGAACAGTGCATAAGTCAAATGGTATGGCATACATCTTTACATAGCTTCACAAATAGAACTGAAGTACACAAATACATATTACATCTTGGTAAAAGGCTTCTCAAGCCGACATGTTCAAAATACATAACCTTCTAGATTGCCGACATAGACAAAAACACATGAAACGCAAATCACGATACATAATATTCAGGATTGCCGACATAAACATTGCCGACATAACATGCATCCAAAACACCTTGCAAACACACATCTCGGCGTAGCCGACTTCTTGCTTGTTACCTACATATATACATAGGGAGGGTGAGCTTGGATACTCAGTGAATGGTATAA